CCAATCGTAGCAGATATAATCAAGTTTATTTGAGTACATTTATAATTCCGTGTCGTGTTCATCCAATAGAAAATATTGAGAACTTATTGCTATTAGGTATTGTTAGATAGGTACCAGGCTTATGTCTTTTTCGATAAAATTTAAAGGTGGATTAATAAATATTAAAATATTGTGTAATTTGGCATGACTTTTCCTTCAGTTCTTTTAAGGAATTGAATTAAAGAAGTATTTTTTAAATTTTATTCTGTTTTCTAGATGTCAAAATAATACTTTATTTAACTCCAACGAAGTCTTTTTAACTCTAAAGCGAATAGTCTTTCATGAAGCTGTTACTTAAGTACTAATTTAATTACTTCAATAACATGACTACTTACTAAAAATAAAAATTTTCAAAACTTTTTCAAATTAAAAAAAATTTTTCGACATTTGAAATATTCAATAAAATTGTAAAATAGGACGCAAAAAAATTTAAAAAATTTTGAAAAATTTGATTTTTTTCAAAATTGAATTATTTTTTTCAAAATTTTGATTTTTGTTTCGATATTTGGTGAGTATTTTGTTCGAAATTGTGAGAATACCTAATAACGCAAAAACATTTGTTTCATCTTAATCATTAATTGATGTTTAAGGAGCAATAATAAACCTGCTACTTTAATTTTTTATAAAACAGACGATTCAGGAAAGAAAAACGGTTATACCAATTAATTTCAAAATGTGCAAGCCTCATGGGCATGTATTGAGCTAAAAAAAACTACAAACATTGGTACTTTTCGCAATATTTGCAAAGTAATGGTTGATTTTCCAAAACAAAAAATTAAAATATTAAAATGGCGATTATAGTAATATATCCAACTATCGTGCTATTACATTTATATGTAATTTTAGCAAAATATTAGAAATCATTTTACATAATCATTTATATGAGCACGTTAAACAAATTATAGATATTAATCAGCATGTTTTTATGAGAGGTAGATCGACTACAACAAATCTTGTGTGCATTACAGATTATATCTCTAGATCTTTGGACAATCACGGTCAAGTCAACGTTATATATATAGATTTTTCTAAAACGTTCAACAGGTTAGGTTATAGTATTCTGTTGGAAAGGTTAGACGTATGTGATGTCTCTACGAGACTGTTGAATTTGTTTAAATCGTACTTGATTCGGAGGATACAGTATGTACAATATAGGGGATTTAAATCTGAACTCATAAATGTATTGTCTGGAGTTCCCCAAGGTTCTGTTTTAAGACCCCTAATGTTCAATATTGTTTTGAATGATATTAATAAATATTTAGATGTTACTTTACGCTGATGATATGAAAATATTTGTTAAGATTGATACCTTAAATGATTTTCAGAACTTACGAAATGCTTTAACATCGGTGAATACATGGTGTACAGAAAACAGACTTCCCCTTAACATAAGTAAATGTAATATAATATATAATATAATAACTTGTCCTGTGATCTACGATTATGGGATTAAGAATCACTCTCTTACTCGTCCCAATTATATAAAAGATTTTGGAGTAACGTTTGATCAAAAATTATCTTTTCATGAACACATACGCAATATCTCTTCATCAACTTAATAGAAGCCTTTGATTTGTGATCAGAAATTGTAGAGATTTTGCTGATCCTTTTACAAAAGTAAATTTATATAATTATCTCGCTTGGAGTATGCTTCAATAGTTTTGTATCCTCAGTATGCAGTCTACAAAAATAACTTAGAAAACATTCTTAGAAAATTCTTAAAATACATGCACTTCAGAACTCAAGGAATATATCCCAACATTGGATTTTCTCATAATATTCTTTTGGACTGTAAGTCCTTAGAAACACATCGAGATATGCATTATGTTGTTTTTTTGTACAAAGTCATTAATTATGTGTATGATTGTCCTCAAATTTTGGAACGTTTTAACTTCAACGTGCCTCGCGCCAATCTACGCTACTCGAATATGATGTACCTCGCAATGCCTAATAATAATTAATTATTGTCATCACCAATTTATGTCTTATGTGAAAATTGCAACAGCCTCCAACATAATATTGACATTTTTTCTTGTAACATAAAATCAATAACGAACCTATTTTAATTGGATTTTGTTTGTTTTGTTATTCATTTTATGTTGTGTCTTTATGGGCATTTTTCATTTTAGCTTGTGTACATGTATAATGTTTATTGTATTTTATTCTACTTGTATTAGTTTTATTACTCTTGAATTTATGTATAGTTTTTTTTCTTTGAATTGTTTTATTTATTGTTACTGTCATTTTTCTGTTTTATATTACATATTGTGTTCCCACCCATTCAGTAATTGGATATTTTCTATTGAATTGTATATCAAATAAATAAATAAATAAATAAATAAAATAAAAACAGAAAAAGTAATTTTTCACACTTTTTCAAATTAATGCTGAATATATGTGTCTCACGACCCATTAGAATTATTTCAGAGACTACATCGATTTGAATTTTGAAAATTTGGGATATCGGGTTTTCGGGCATGCCCTTCTCAACTAAAATAATGGCGTCCATGTACCGCTTCCGGTTATACCGTAAGTCGCCATCAACTTGCTTATTTTAAACGGAACATCCTATATATTATTGCAATTTTGGATTCTACGTGTTATTTTAGGGTGGGCTTTTATGAAGTTTTCCTATTCCTAAATTTAACCGTTTTCGAGATATTTAATTAAAAAAAAAAAATGGAGAGAAACGGTGACTAGCTTCAAACCATGTGTATTTTATAGTAAGAAAGATACAGCAACAATATTTATAGGGGGGATAGCTAGACCCCTAAGCTTCCCATCCATACTTTCAAAGTGGCTTAATTGTATACAGGGTGCTGGAAATTTAATGCCGAGTTTAGTTAATTTCAAACATTCATAAGTCGCTTTTTTTAAATGGAACACCCTGTATGTTTTTTAATATTCTGATGCACAATTTTATTCTCTTTCGGACGGTATCAGGGTTTCCTATACCTATTTCTTCTAGTTTTTAAGTTATCTACTATTTTTTGTGTAATCACCTAAAATCATGTAATTTCTTGCGAGGATAGCTGTGGAATTTTTAGCAAAACTTCAAAACAAACAACTAAACTGTCACCAGTTATTTATTATTATTTGTTCACAGACGTTGCAATGAGATTCTAAGCAGAACATTTACAGTTTTTAATGAGATCCCAATTTTCCACCAATGAGCAGAATAAAGTTAAGAAGAATTCTAAAAAATCAACTTCATACATAGTAATACACAATTTTAATTATGTATGTTGATAATAATAATGCACTAAGATAATAAAAATGACTTAAGTATTCAATATGACCCCCATTAACAGCTAAGCACTTGTGGATTCTAGAGATAACACCATCAGTCACCGTTTTTGCTATTTCAGCTACAGGCAATTCATGGAACGCTCTTGTATTCGAGCAATCAAATCCTCTTTTGAAGCAACGGGTGTAGAATAAACTATTTGCTTTATTACTCCCCAAACATAAAAATCTAATGGAGTGAGATCGGGAGACCTCACTGGCCAATTCCACGGTCCTAGGCGTCTCATCCATCTATCTTCAAACATTTCAGTCAGCTGTTGATCGATTTGATTGTGACAGTGGAGCGCCGTCTAATTGATACCAACACTTCCTTAGTTGGTTCAAGGGTATATCATCTAGAAAATCTGCCACAATCGTTTGCAAAATATTGAGATATCTGTCGGCATTTAAATTTTCTTCGTAGATATGGTAAAAAATTTGGTTATCTTTAATTAGACAAAAAACATTTACGCTAAATTTATTTCAAAAGTTTCTTTCCCGGATAACATGAGGATTTTCAGATGACCACAAATGAGTATTATGTCTATTAAAAATACCTTCTCTCGTAAATTTTGACTCGTCTGTCCATATAATATGTTGCAAAAAATGTGGATCTTCTTGGTATCGCACTAACATCGTTTCACAAAATTGTACACGTTGCACGGCGTCACCCGGATGATGAGTAGAAAGTAGCTTAAATTTGTATGGATGCATATCATTAGTTCTTAGCATCCTGTGAATGGACGCTCGTGAAATGCATAAATCATACTCTGCGGCACGAGTTGAGGATTCTGGATGAACATGAAAATAGGCTAGCACATTTATTACATTATCTTCATTTGAAGTTATTGGTTTTGGTAAAATTCTTTCTACACTAATTCGACCATACTCTAGTTGATTTGCTAAAATTCTTCTTAACTTTCTTCTGCTCATTGGTTGCAAATTTGGATATGTTTCATTAAAAACTGTACATGTTCTGCTTAAAATCCCATTGCAACATCCGTGAATGAATAATAAATTTAAAATATCAGCATTTGAATAGGTATAAACACTTATATACACTAAATTAAATTGTCACTGCAAGAGACTAACAACAAATTGACAGTTTAGTTGTTTGTTTTGAAGTTTTGCTAAAAATTCCACAGCTATCCTCGCAAGAAATTACATCATTTTAGGTGGTTACACAAAAAATAGTACATAACTTAAAACTAGAAGAGATATGTATAGGGAACCCTGTATAAAAAAAATTCTCAAACATACCAAAAGGCCCTTGAAGAGAATTGATTCAGGTTTCTCAAACCCACCTTCCGTTCGATGTACGATCATTAGTTCATGACATATCGATGATAAAAAAAGGTGACTTTTCACTCAATAGCCGACATTTCAATGAAAAATAATCGTGCAGAAAATTAAAAAAAAAACAAAAAAATTCAAGCTGATGAATCAGGCTAAATGCCCCTGTCACTGATTAATCGGAAAAAAATTTTCTGAGACCGTGGGCAGTTTTGGAGAGTAATGTCACTTCTACACAAAACTGATGTCTTTTTTGTTCACTACACAACTTTTTTATAGAACGTAAATTCCTTTTTCGCTTTTCCTGATATTAGTTCCTGATTAAAACTCTCTACTAGCGTTCATTGACGTTTCTCGTACATTAACCGGGAATATTATCGCAGGTATGGAGGCATCCATGGCGGCGGTCCTACCACAAGCGGAGGAAAGCTCAGTGGGAGACGGACCCCAACTACTGCCAGCTGGTGAGGGAGATTCCGCCTTACGACAAGGGACGCAGACTTTACGATCTCATGGACATGTCTGTGTTCGATTTTCTCATGGGGAACATGGATAGGCATCACTACGAGACGTTTAGGTAAGTTTGAATTTAGAGTTGCTTACTGCATAAGCGCCAAAACTTCTAAATTGCTATGGGTGCTCAAATTAATAATAGTAGAAATACTACTGTCACATATAAAAAGTGCGACACAAGTAATATATTTTTAATTTTTGTCTCTAAATTACAACTTAAATCCAGATATTTCATTGCATTTGTTATAAATTACAAGCAAATCATTTATTTAAATGCTAAAAAAATTATTTCGAATTCTTTTGGCTCACTAACGTGATTTTTGACGATTTTTCGCTAGTTTTGATGATTTTTCGCTATTATTTTGCCATTCCAGATACCAACTGGATTGCGTATTGCTGGTTGCGTGGTACCTCGTGTTAACCGCCGCGCCGTTGTCACATTGCTCGATATGAATTTTATCGAATTTTAAATTTAATCGAACTTTTGTACATCAAGTTGGAGGTTTTGATAAATTTTTTCTTGGAAATGGTTGAGTTTAGGACCCATGTCATATAAGGTTTTTTTTAGTTTATTTTAATGTATTCTATCGTCTGTTAAAATTAAGGCAGTCAAACTTCTAACACCCTGTATATCTTGCCCACATTTTTTTCACTGTCATTCGTCACACAATTTAGTCTTAAAATTGGGTTCGTTGTCATGGCGACAGCATTCATTTATTGCCCATTAAATTATCCAATGCCGAAGTGACAAAGTGCCACGGAAAACGTGATAAAAATTGATGGAAGTGCAATTATCGGATGAATGGATTTCCTTTCTGTAAAATCGGTAATATTTTTACTTATCATAATCGAAATTGGAATAGAATTTAAAAATGAATGCTTTAAGTTTCTCGATCATTTTTTATAAACCGGAAAGACATAGCATGTATTAATAAAAACACGGATATTTAAATTTTTTATGATAATGATTTAAATGTAATTTTTCCACTTGATAGCCAAAAAGATAGATGTATCATAATAATTGTATTTTGAGATCTAACTTATATACAATTGATGTATTAAACTAATTCAGATTCAAATTATTTAATGCACCACAACAATACCTATCAAACAGCTAGCAATAAATAATTATCTAAAATAAAATCTAAAAATAATATATTTAAATATAATTAGAACAAAAACCACATACCTACCATTGTCAAACTATGTAATTTTCAAAGAAGTATCTTTTAATTTTGTTGTTCTATCATCACCTTTGACAAAGACTGACACGTAAAACCATATAGTTTATAACATTTCTACTATCAAAGAACATTGACCTCATTTGATTCAATTTTTTTTTTATTTTGTTTGATACCTTTAAAATATAGTAAAATATACGAAAGCTAATAAGAGAGTATAAGTTTTGTAAATACAAAAGAGAATAAAATTGATGGTTGGATGAAACAATATAGTCAGTCAGTTGACTTCCAATCGAGTGCTGATTCTTCTCAAAATGTAGTTGAAACTTTTTTATTAAAAAATATAGTTAGTTCTGTCCAAAAATGATATAAATATTTAGAAAACCATCTAATTTTTCAGGTTATTTGGTAACAACACGTTCACCTTACATTTGGATCATGGGCGTGGATTTGGTAAGCCCTTTCATGATGAACTATCCATCTTGGGTCCTCTACTACAGTGCTGTATGCTACGGCAGTCAACATTAGAAACATTATTGAGGTAAGTAATTTTTGACAGTTTTCGTATTTACTCTATTTAAACTACTTATTCTATTTAAACCGGAAAGTCGCTTTCCTCTATTTTTAAACTTTGGCACTTTTTTTGAATACCATATTTTCTTTGTATTTATTAAGTACGTCCTCAGAAAATGTCTAGTATACTCATTAAGCATAAAATTTTACGGTAAGATTAATAAAACGATAGGATCGTTACCCGTTATTTTTCAAGAGATTTGCGTGAAATACACAGATATGTGTAACATTGTCGTCCCAGATTTCCATTTTGTAGTCGTACTATACTATACATCCAGCAAGATAACGTGTGACGCAACTCCGTCTCCGTTACGGAACCGCATCTTCCTTTGCCGGATGTGTGTAACGAGCTTTAGGTGACCACCCACCAAAAATGTTCTTTTAAGCGTGTTAGAACGACGATCCAACTACTAATATAAATATGCATGGCGTTTAGAAATTTCCATAGGAAAGATTGGTCTTCCTAAACAGAATATTATATTTACAATTAAAAATAGACGCGTAAATATCACGCAAAACTATTGGAAGTAGAATTTCCAATACGTTTATGCCTTACCGATTTATAAACAGAACTTGGTAGTTTGGAGGCCTGCCTTTTCTACCCAATGAATGCTTCCTTTTTCTTCAATGGAACATCCTGCCTATTATTCCATGCTTCAATTCCCCTCAAAATTCTTACCAAAATTCGTACGGCACATCATGTACCTAAATTAACCGTTTTCGAGATATCAAATTTTAAAAGTAACTTTTTACTACTCTCAAATGTATAAAAGAAAATGGGCACAAATTATGGATATCTATTTTGAAAATAACACAAGGTGGAGGATATGGATATGATTTAATTTTATTATTAGTTTTTTTTACATAAACTAAAAAAGCATAATAGTTCAGGATAGATAAAAATGCATGAAACCAAGAAATGTATTTTTAATTAAATTTTATAAAAACAATAGTTGCCAGAATAAAAAAAAGAGAGGAAAGAAGTTTTAATGAACAATATTTTCTTTGGAATTCTATTCTGTAAGGTGCTCAGTGTTCACCATTTACCTCCTGATAGTAATTAATTCGCTGAACAAAATTTTGTAGTGAATCTAAAAGAGGAATAGTGGAAATTTCATGCCTTAACCTTTTCTGCAACTCTTAGATATTTTGTGGCCTATTTTTGTAGACTACATTTTTTATGTGACCCTACAGAAAAAAGTCAAGCGGAGACCTAGCTGAATTGAATTGAATTGCCCCTCTGCATTCAATACATTCATCAGGAAAAGTTTCAAGTAAATATGCCCGTACCACACGTCCAAAATGTGGAAGTACCCGATCATGTTGAAACCATATTTGTTCTGGCGGTAAATTAGGATTGTTATTGTTCGGGATTCGTCTAAGCTCTGGAATAATATGTTCTTGCAAAAGTAATAAATATCGTTCAGATGTCAAATTTCTGTTTATAAAATCCTATGATGTGTCCACCAATAATGTCACACCGAACATTTACTTTCTGTGGTCATTGGGTGTGAACTTCCTCCATCCAATGTGGATTTTGGTCTGACCAATACCTACAGTTGTATCGGTTTACATGTCCGTTTAAACAAAATGTAGATTCGCCAGAAAACAATATACATGTGTTTCACAAAGTTGATATTTTTATTTATTTTAATCTTATATATAAAATTCTCGTGTCACAATGTTCGTTCCCGTACTCCTCCGAAGCGGCTTGACCGATTCTCATGAAATTTTGTGAGCATATTGAGTAGGTCTGAGAATCTGCCAACATCTATTTTTCATACCCCTAAATGTTAAGGGTGGTCCACCCCAAAATTTTTTTTTTAATTTTTTGGACAAAATTTTTTATTTTTATTTTTTTATGATGTGGCTTTAAAAAATACATACAATCCTAAATTTTCACCCTTCTACCATCAACCCCTATTTTTTAATAGCGATATTAGTAATTCAATAATTTTCAACCCCGGTCGATAACTGATCAATTATCACTTGATCATTTTTTTATCCCCGCCAGGCGTCGACCGGTGTCACTTCTGACCCAGTAAACAGAACGGAGTAGGGATGAGATCTCTCTCACACAATAAGCCGTTTCTCACTCTCTACAGTTTTCGGCCATAATTATTATTGTTTGTGCATCAATCGTAATAGTGACGTTTACTATTAACATTAATAAAAAAATATACACGATATACACTGAATAACAACACTAAATATAATATAGATGGTAGAAGTGAAATTTCTTTATGAAAAATCTACTAAAATAATCCTAGGAATAATTTATATGGCAAAACAACGTTTGCCGGGTCCACTAGTTTATCCATAATAACTTCGCAGAACTCGATTCTACGATCATAATCGTCCTCACTCAATTCTTCTAACAAATGAATTTTATATGGATGTAATTTTTCCCGCTTGCAAATTTTTTTAATAGAATATCGACTCATGTTATGATTTAAAGGCCTTTAAGGGCTATTTTCCGAAATGACAAATAATTTCAAACATTTAATAACTGAATAGTTTAAAGGTTATCAAATAATAGGAATGATATGTCATGTGAGTATTTTCAAAGACGCCGCAGTACAACGAATAAACACGTGCAAAAAACGATCAAACCGTCAAGGTTTTAGGTACTGAATTTTTGCTAAAATTGTAAAAAAATTGAAATAAAGAAAATTACGGGCCGAAAACCCCCTTCACCAACCTAAATGGGACGCATATGATTTGCATGTCGAAAAGATCCATAATTTTTTTTTCTATTTATTTGCGACCGTTTTGTCAATAACAAAAAAAAAACAGTTTTGTTTGAGCCCTTTTAAGGGCATATAACTTCCTAAGGGTGCGTTTTAGGGCACATGTTAATAGGAACTTTTTGGCTTTTTTTAATGAGTTATAAACGCAGCAGAAGTTTGGAACCCTATTTTAGAAACACCCTGTATAGCTACTTTCGACTGTCCTGCGGGGTACTAGTACCTATCACACCTTAAACTTAATTTCTTTGTGGGTGTTTATATAAATACTCCACACAACTTATACCACCTGTGAGCGTGTTGTTATAATAAACAAACGGCCCTCTGGTTATTACATATTTACATCCTTAAATTAGAAATTTGACTACCAACTGTCACAGTCTATGTCGAATTCAATTTACATGTGCGAAACATAATGCTCCCGAAGATGACGTAAATACTGGATAAGCTTTCAAATCCAACCTCTCAGATACAGTCGTCTGAATCGGAGTAACAGTAGCAAGAAGACCTTGCCGAGATATCATCAAACAAAACACTCCTAATGGGAACTTAATAGCCTCCCTAGATTTCAGATTGCAAGGTACATAATCGAAAGTGATTAATTCGACAGATAATGTTCACAATTATTACGGTATAGGAGTTGTAAAAGGCATGGTACTAATGCAATTTGGTATTTAGTAGTGATATAATTAGGCAATAATCGTGAGGGCCTGTTTGCAACGCCATCGCGTGACAGAATGATTAATTTCCACTCTAATTCACTCGTGTGTGCTCTCCCCACGTTCTAACCCGGTTTTGTTTGAATCTGATACTACTACGATACATTGACATTTTGATAATGGGAAATCCATCTAATGGAAGTAGCTGTCTTGGTTTTCACTTATTTACAAAAAAAAGTGTGTATTATAAAGGGTGATTTAGTCATAATATCATTAATTTTAAGGGAAGATAGGAAAAATGAGTAGAATAGGAATACGCGATTAAAAAAAAATTAAAATGCATATTTACGCTGAAAAAAAAAATTTAAATCATTATTTAAACCCCTTTTTGGACCGCCCCTAACCGCTGACATACAAAGGATTATCGAGAGTGAATTTTGACCTATCGTAACGTTCGGTCACTAACATAACTTTAATATTGTTATTTCAGATATACGTACTACAAACTGAATAATTAATTGATTAAAAACTCATATTTAATTATAAAAGTGACCTTTGCTTTTCAAAGAGTAGTGGTACATATCTATTTAAAATTCTAGTACGGCTGAAACACTCGTTCGTCCATAGCACTTAATAGAGTTGGGATCCGCTTCAACGTTCCAATGATTTCTGATATTTCAACCAGCTTCTGCCACGACGTTGCAGTCTTCAAGCATATTCACAAATGACCCATTTTTCAGGATATAACATTTTCTTGAAAGTGGTGGGTAAACCAAACTGACGGTTTCCTGTTTCCACGAATGCTTTGCTTACCGCTATTTTTTTATAAGAGTGCATTTTTCAGAAACACATGTCAGGAATTTTTTATTGAAAAAGTTGTATACCAAATTGAAGAAAATATATTATTGGTTAAAATTTCTAAACGCCGATAATCTTAAAAAAATGAAAAATATAATTTGGAACAGAAAAAAAGTTATGATTAATAACATTTATGAATAATTTTCATATATAACCACCTGATGTTTTTTCATCACACTTGTATCTATGGTATTTTCTTTAAAGTGTATCCGCTTGAAGAAAAATATTTTTTCTCCAAATTTCGAACACAAGTATGTTGGGAAACGTGAAATAATTCTAATGCTGCTATTTTTGCGATAAAAAATCCCTAACATGTTTTCCTATACTCATAAAAATAACCTTACTTGACACGAAAAACAAAACACGGGAATTAATTTTTCTAAATAGAACTAAACCCAAAAATAAAAAAGTTACTTGCTTTTTTAACCACTTTGTATCTTCCAAATAAAAGTGTGAACAAAGCCTTAGTGCTAGAAATTCTTTAATTATTTTTTAAATCAAATATAGGGTTAGTAAGGATGGTTCAGTGTCTATTTAATAGTGGTATAATTAGGTAATATACGTAAAGACTCGTTCGTAAGGTCGTTGCGTGACAGGATAATTAATTTTTTTAGCCCATTTATGGGTTATATTTGCTCTACCATAATGCCTGCGTTGTAGTTTCTTGCTTATTAACCCTTAGTAATAGCACAGATAATGGAGAC